ATATTTTAAAATATTGATTGAAAAATTGATTTGATTTAAAACTTTCGTTAGACATTTAATTTTTTTTAATTTTTGCATTTATTTCTTATCTGCCCTCCAGTGTCGTGAGGTTCTCCTAGTGCCAAAGTGGGGGCCGTGTTCAGTCTTGTGTTATTCAGCCACAGTGTGTCCTCAGTTAGCCCTACTTTCCAGCACTTGCTCACCTGTGTTCCATTAGTAATCAGCACACCTCAAAGTCATGTATTTCCCRTTTCTTACCCATTTTGAAGCTTTGTTTGAACTTCAGCAAACTATCTTCACCACATCTGGACACCTAATGGAATTGGTTTGTTACATTATTGGCTGATTATGTGTTTGTGTTAATAAGCAGTTAAGCATGTGTACCTAAAAACATGGCCTGTAAGTGTACACTCCTTAGTTTAGCTCAGTCCTTGTCATATTGTCTCTTTTTTGTTCATATGTTTGGCTGTTTTGTTCCCCTCACTGAGTTGTTGTACCTCCTTCCTTCATGCTTTTGCATTTAGATTCTCCCAACACCCATCTTGTGACTGTCCGATCTGACTGTGTTTTCACAGCTCCTGCTGGCCACTTTATAGCCTTGTCTTAGGTAATCTTGTTTCATGGTAAATGATTGTTTTCCTCTGCTTCCAGATTCATTTKGCTTGATACAAATTCCTGTAGCAGCAACTTCCTAAAGAACTCTCACATATCACACTCAAGTCCCTTCAAAGCCACAGTGCATCCAGCCAATATCATTTTTCTTTTTACATTCCCCTTGGGCTAATAAACCACTTAACCATCCTCTGGTTCTGAGGCTGCTTTTCAGTCCAAAACCCAACTGCCCCTGACAGAGATGAGGGGAACATCTGGCTTGTTATCAGAACACACTTAAAATACTGGTATCCCTGATGTGCTGAGGTACTTCAGTCTACGCAAAATGGGTGAGTGGCCCAGTCATGATAACTCCATTAAGGCCAAACAGGTTTGGAAGCAYCATATAAATTGCATTATTTCAGGGCCAGGCTGCCTATTTTATGAAGAAAGTGGCAAAATATCTTRAGCATGTATCACAACATCATTATCCTGTCCCAATTATGTGTTCTTTACTAAAATATTCTAGTAAAGAACTAGATTTATTTAAAAAATGGATTAAAATGATCAAACAATTTGAACTGAATGTTTTTTTTTAATACAGACAGCAATGATAAAGTGATATCAACAATAACAGAATTAGAAAGATCTTACCTGTGTGCTGGTTGTTTGTGATTGGTGCAGATTGCAGTCTGGAAGTCATGGCTGACGCACACCTTGTGAGGAGGACAGCGAACCCTCAGACACGGGTCTTTGGTGGCATCTGGGCCTAAACAAAGACAGCAGGTGCAAACTTAATTTTCAAATTGCAAAACTAAGTTAGAGAAATCAGCACATCGTGGGGCTGCAGCTGAAAGTTGATGCAGCGAAACATCAAGCTGTTCTCAAGCTTTTCTTTTCTTTTTTTTCTTTTCTTTCTTTTTTTTTTTTTACAGCCAGCAGACTCTAACCTTCTTACTAACTGAAGCAGGCAGAAAAATAATGAGTTGGAGAGGAASATGGGAGAAAGAAGAATGGTAAAAGGTGTGAAGTACAAGCTCAGCTTTCTGTGTTGTGAGCTGCTTAATGAGGATTCTCTCAAAGCGTTAATCTCATCTTCATGAGACTCAATCTCCAGAGAGTGACATTAACATCGTAACTGGCTGSTGTTCAAGATGACAAAATTAAAAAACAAAACAAAACCAAAAAAGAAAAAAAAGGAAAAAAAGAAAAGAAATAAGAAAAAAATCAAGCAACTCTTTGACTCTGAGACTTGCATCATTTCGCAATAGGCTAACAGCACAAACTCACATTCATACAAATGACTAAGCTGGTAAAGGAAGAGAAAAAGGCCAAAACCTCTGAAAGAAAATGACAAATGTTGTCAGAMATGTTTCGATGTAAGGCAGCGGTTAAAAGAACACGTAGACTTCACGGTGCCTTCAAATACAACATGTAAATAAAGTAATCTACATATAAATTATTGATTTTAAATAAAAAAAACTGAAAGTTAAATATCTTATTTAGGTACATATAGAAAATTTTCAATAATAATACAGTTGTATTTTGGTTACACTATAAAATATTACAAAAAAAATCAGTAAGTTTGATAGGTTCTTGACAACTTTTGAAAAATCTCTTAAATATTAAAGTCACTTTGTTTTCTACAATCTTAACTTGGCTTGTTTTAATAGCTACAAAAAATATGCTTTGTTTCTTGCTTTAAAAACTGCAAAACTTTTGAGTTATTTATTTTTGAAATTAGGAACCAAAGGCCTATTGCACGAATCTAGGATAAGGGATTAAGCCAGGATTTTGGTGTAAACCTGACTTAATTAAGCCTTGAATCGGTTGCATGGGAGGGGAAGCACTTGGTAACAAGTGCTGTGAAACTAACCTGGTCCCGACAAGGTTTAAAGTGAAGCTTATTTAATCTTCTAAGCAGTAGAGTCACTTTACTGCAAAAACTGTTCATCTAACCAAATTTTACAGTCTTATATCAGCTAAAAAGTAGTTTTGATCTTGCTTTTAGACCGATATATTAAACAAGATCAGAATATGTTGGATTATTAATCTTGTTAATCTGAAAAGTTTTTTTTAACTTCAAGAAGTCTTACCAAGTGCAACTGCCAAACTGCAAATTATTAATTATTGTTAATTTGAAAAGAATAAGGGTCTAATCTAGTATTTTAAACTTATTTTTAGAAGCCTAATTTTTACAGTGATACACTTATTCAATTTATTATTTTTTTCTTTGTATTAAAATATTACAGAGTAAATATTATTTATTTATTTTTACCAGATTATCCATGAAAAAGAATAATAAAAAAGTCCGTCTGTCCCACGACCTTTCCTACAACGATCATTTTAAGTGAGCAATCAGATGTTCATTTTAATTTTGTTAATTTCAGATAACTTACAAACAGATTAATTGGCTCAAAAAGTTTTTACTTTTGAAATTATTTCAGCATCAGTCGGTGTTTCTCTTCATCTCTTCATATGAATCATAATTAACCATTAAACTGCTGGAAGAAGTGAGACTCACGTGTCTTACTGTGCATGCCTGATCAGGAAATCTGTGATCCACCTGATGGGTCTAGTAAACAAACAGTGAACGTGCATTAATCCTAAACCATTTACAGCTGGTTTTAATGAGGCGCCTTATTTGAGCACGGCTTGGTGTTAGAGCAACTGATTACAGCTGCTGACAAGTTGAAGGCTTGTTCAAGCTCAGCTTACAGCTCATATCCTGAATTTAGAAAAATGACTTTTGTGAAATGAGCCTCTGGTCAAACTGTCCGTCTGCAGTATCATAAACAGAGAGAACTGGATTYATTAAATCACCATCTGATAGTACAAATTCTGATCCATTTTAGAATATTATCTGTCTAACGTACTTACATTATTTATGTAAGATAGCACATTTTATTTATCAGTGCACAAAATGTGCTTTGTAATAAACAAATACCTGGCCCATTATTATTGACTTTTACACTTTTCAAACTCTTWTATGGAAAACTATAAAACTTAAAAATAACAAAACATTGTGAACATTTTGATTTTTAAATGGTTAATATAGGACAAAGTAGGCAAAACTATTTACAAGTTTAAAAASTRARATAAGAAAAGACAAAAGAAAAAYAGAAACAGGACAGCATGAAGGCTAATCAAAGAAATATGAAAGCCATGAAACAAAAGCTTCCTAAAAGACAGTGCAGCTAAAATTAGATCAAAGACAAAGTGGGTTTTAAACCACATTCTGAACAAACTAAAACAGTTTGAAAAGCCAGGCTAATAGCGACTGAGAGCATAGTTTATAGATCAAAGATCTGCATTATGTCCAAGTTATTAACAWGTGGGTGCTAATATCATAAAACAAAACTGGCTTTGCCTTCATTAGGGGCTCAATGGGATGTGTTTGAGCCACAGCTGGTGTTTGATGTGAACATCAACTAGTTTCCAACCTGATCACACACACCACACGGCTGTTTACATACTGTTTTATTATTGCTAAATTGACTAAAGGCTCAGGTTTGATGGGATGTTTTTGMCCATTTTTTTAAAGTCAGATGCTGAAAGCTCAACTATCAACTGAGAGATGATGTATAAACTGTTGATGTTGTGTATGTGGAGCCTATAAATAAAAGGGGAGACGATTACTCAACCTCAACGAAAGAAGTTTATAGCTTGCTGTATACATTTGTCACAACCAAGCAACACACTTTCATTTTACAATCGGTGGAATGCACAAGCACATTCACGAGCTTGTTTGCCCTTTCATATTCCCTGGTACCATGGAGGAGATAAGTCTGATGTGCAGTGTGCTTGGATTGCCTGCTGATATGGACTTGTCCTCACCTCCATCTATCTAGCACTGGAGGAAACCCATCTCATTTCACTTAGCTGAAAAATGGCTTTACCGCAGAGAGGAAATGAGAGCTGAGGAGAACTAGGGGGAAAGTGAGAGCAGACAGATTGTGAGAAAAAAAGGAGGATCATGTCTGCTTAAAGGAGGATTGAAGGACAATTCTGGATGACTGTGACCTCTACTCTCATACAAATCTGAAATATGTCACAAGCTGGTGCAAACACTCAAACACACACAGCAGTAATGTGTTTATTTATAGAAACAATAAATCATGAGTTTTAAATGCACTTTTTCAAATGTGCATAAGTGTAGGCTGCTTTAAAGTCAGCCTTGACCATGAGCTACATCTCCCATAATGCATATCGATTATTTTACCCATGAAATGATGCCATCTCACCACTAGGTGGAGGAACTCTGGTTTTAAAAAAAACATCAGCAGGAGAAATTCACCTCCAATTGGTTACATTTTCGACAGCTACTTTTACTGCAGCCCAGTTATAGTTGAAAGTGGGAATTTCCCACTTACAATTTGTAAATATTTCTAAAACAAAATAATCTCAAAATGAACTCTAAAGATTTAGTGAAAAAAATTTTTTTGACTGGTAGTAGCTGAGATTCATGTACAACATATGCTCTGAGTGCTGCGCTTACTTAAGATTTTATCATTATTGGGGTCAACCTTGTTTGATTTTAGCAAAATATCTAGTAAAGCACTGGACAGGTTTTTAATGAAACTTTTCTAAAGAAATTTTTGGATAAACATCTACAACTGCTCTCTGCTTTTTGTGGATGATGTTGTCCTATTYACTTCATCAYATCGTGATCTCCAGCTCTCACTGGAGCGGTTCACAGCCGAGTGTGAAGCGGCCGGGATGAGGATCAGTGCCTCCAAATCCGAGACCGTGGTCTTGAGCTGGAAACCAGTAGGGTGCCTTCTCCATGTCGGGGGAGGAGGTCCTACCCCAAATGGAGGAGTTTCAGTATCTCGGGGTCTTGTTCACAAATGGGGAAAGAATGGAGTGGGAGACTGACAGGAGGATTGGTGCTGCATCTGCAGTGATGCGGGTGCTGTACCAGTCTGTCGTGGTGAGGCGGGAGCTGAGCCAGAAGGCGAAGCTCTCAGTTTACCGGTCGGTCTACATTTCTACTCTCATCTATGGTCATGAGCTTTGGGTAGTGACTGAAAGAACGAGATCGCGGATACAAGCGGCCAAAATGAGTTTCCTTCGCAGGGTGTCTGGGCTCTCCCCTGGAGATAGGGTGAGAAGGTCAGTAATCCGGGAGGGGCTCAGAGTAGAGCCACTGCTCCTCCACGTCGAGAGGAACCAGTTGAAATGGCTCGGGCATCTGGTTAGGATGCCTCCTGGACGCCTCCCTGGTGAGGTGTTCTGGGCATGTCCCACTGGGAGGAGGCCCAGAGGAAGACCCAGGATACGCTGGAGGGACTATGTTTCTCTGCTGGCCTGGGAACACCTTGGGATTCCCCCTGATGAGCTGGCTCAAGTGGCTGGGGAGAGGGAAGTCTGGGTCTCTCTGCTTAGACTGCTGCCCCTGTGACCCGACCCCGGATAAGCGGAAGAAAACAGATGGACGGACATCTACAACTGATTAACAAAGACTCTACTTCGTAAAGAAATTGAGGAAGTTTGGTATGAACACCAGCATCCTTACAAACTTCTAGAGGTGCATTATTGGGAGCCTGCTGATGAGCAGCACCACAGTGTGGTATGGGAACTGCACCAGTCAAAGCCAGAAAGCACTACAGAGGGTAGTGCGAACAGCTGAGGATATCACTGGTAACAGTCTCCCCACCACATTTACCACAGCCGGTGCCTGCGTAAAACACAGCATCATTAAAGACCACACCCACCCACATTTTTGTCTGCTCCCCTCTGGCAGACYGTACAGGAGCCTGCCAGCAC